CCTTCCAAATGTAGAGAAATGAGTGTAGATACAGGAGTCACAGCTGGAGGCGATTTTCCACTTTCCCTTGCAAAATTCCTTGTGTTTTTCTGTCTCTTAGGGGAAGTTGCACAAAAACCGGAAAGCAATCCTGATGGGCCGCATGAGCTGTGGGTGAATGTCCCCTCGATGGAGAAGCCTCATGACTGATACATTGGCAGAAGCGCAAGCTTTACCTGTTTCTTATTATGATGTTGGAGTTCCCTGAGACCAGAAGTTCTCTAAAAACACACACACAAATCCTTTTTTTTTAATATGTGCTGAATACATGAAAAAAACCTTTATGGCCACTGCCCAAACAAGAAGCAATCCAAATGGATGCATTCTGATGATAAAATGTTCACACCGATAGATGCACGCACCACGGGGGACCCTCACAGACATGCATCGTAAAGATTCAAGCAGATTCTGCCCGTAAGACAGATTTCTGGGGCGGAGCCCAGGTAAGGCTGAAAAATGGCGCTGGCCATGTGGCTGTGGCTGGGGGATGCCTGTGCCAGTCCAGACTTCCTGCTGGGGATTCCAGCCTCCCTAGCGGCTAGGCAGGGAAGGTCCTGGGCTTGTCCAAGCTCAGAGTCTGAGAACTTCCTCTGTCCACAGCGACCATGCTGGGGACAGCTCTCAGATGGCTCTGGGCATGCGCAGGACCATGGCTCTGCCCACCTGAGATGGTTAATATCTGTCTTAGCATTGTTAGTACTACTAGCCAGGGGTGACATGATCTAGTCTCTGCCGTACTCCCATCTGAACCACACGGGTCATACGCTAGCGTTAATTCCTACAGGAAGATATTGGACACCATTTGTGCCACCCTACCATCACATCAATGCCCCTACTATGAGTTCAACAGCACCATGGAGATGAAGGCTCACTATTTCATTTTACTTATTTTTTTTTTCCTTCTTTTTTCCCTCTCAACCTGAGGGGGACTGTACCTAAGGGGAAGTAAAATGGAAGTGCAGCGGGAATAAATATGTCCCTAGGCAGAAACAGAGAGAAGTACATCCCTGTGCTTGCAATGCAAGGACGGACTCACAGTGAGACAACAGATAAGCCGCTCCACTGTTGGGAGACCCCTCAGGGGCCGTGTGAGGGGCTGCTGAGGGTGCTCGGAAGACACCGTGTCATAAAATAAACAATTTAAATAAAAAATCAATTCTCCGCTTTACCCAATACAACATATGATGCCCCAGGATGGATCCCAGCAGGCTCTCCTCGGGGTCCAGGCCGCCCGGATCACCTCCCACTGTCCTTGTAACAGGATGCTAGAGTTGAGAACCTTGCCCAGACATCATTACGCTATGAACCTTGTGCGGTGTGCTGCACATAGGGGAAATTTAGGTAAAATTTATAGGAGCCCCTGGGTTAGAGTCTACGGACCTGAACCAACCAAGAGGGAGTTACCAAGAAGTACCACATGTACGGACTGCAAATTTCTGCAAAAGAAAAGAAAAATCCTCAAACAGGCCAGTTTTTCAAGACAAAAACAAAGAGGAGCTTTCCAACAGCTCAGCTGGTCAGTCCTGGCCCGTGTGATGCAGAGGAACCCTCTGCTTTGACCTCTGCCAGGGAAGTAACCTGCAGTGACAGGGCTTCAGCCATGTGCTCCTCTGTGTGATGCGTGGTCTCATTCCTGCTCCAGCTGCTTCACAAAAACACTGTTCCAAGCCAACAGATGATGCTTTGTCGCGCTCTTGGGAAGTTGTCCATAGATCAGTGATAAAAGTCAGTGCAAGGCAATCTACAATTGCAAAGACATGGAAGCAACCAGCAGGTGCGTCAACGGACGAGTGAGTTAAAGAAACGTGGTGGTATATCTACCCATGGATAATCTGCAGCTATTAAGAAAACAAAAGTATTTCTCTTTTACAACAGGTGGTCCCAACCCCAGAAACATTATGCTGGTGAAATGATTCAATCCAAAAGAAACAAATGACCATATATTCTCTCTCATATAAGGACGCCAACTGGAAAGGTAACGAAACAGTCAATCGATGCTGGTTGTTTGATGTTTTTCTTCAGTTGGTTGCTTGCAAATAATCTATATTTCTCTAGTAGGAATTCATCATGTGCTTATGATGTATTGATGGCACCCATTTTTCCCGAGAGACTTTGTGTTTCCTTTTTGTATGCATGTTTGGTATTCGTGGTGTTACTTATTTTCAGGGTGATATACTTGTTGTCGATGTTGTTGGTGTTGTTGTTGATGTGGTTGTTAGGAATTGATGTCAATCTGAAACAGTAATTATTATTTCAACCCCACAAACTGTATCTCATGCAATAAGATTTGTGAAGTAATTAAGGAATCACTAATCATATGAGTCGACTGTTTGATTCTTACATCAAAGAATTAAAAAATTGTAAGGCTCTAAAAAGAGGAAAGAATCACCAAGGGGGGGGGGAGGGTTTTGGCGGGGGGAGGGGGGGAAATCAAGAGCCTGTCAAAACTGAGGTCATGATGAATGTATAAAATAATAATAATAAAAAAAAATGTATTAAAAAAAAAAAAAAAGTCAGTGCAAGGGCCCGGCGCGGTGGTGCAGTGGTTAAGGGCCTCGCCTAGCACGCCCGGGATCCCATATGGGTACCGGTTCTATTCCGGCAGCCCCGTTTCCCTTCCAGCTCCCTGCCTGTGGCCTGGGAAAGCAGTCGAGGACGGCCCAAAGCTTTGGGAACCTGCACCCGCGTGGGAGACCCAGAAGAGGCTCCTGGCTTCGGATCGGCATAGTATCGGCCCGTTGTGCTCACTTGGGGAGTGAATCATCGGACGGAAGATCTTCCTCTCTGTCTCTCCTCTCTGTATATCCGCCTTTCCAATAAAAAAATAATAAAAAAGAAACCTTTAAAAAGTCAGTGCAATATTTAAAGGGTTTTTTAGACACTAAGAGTCAAATGTAGAGCACTTTCTCATCAAGTATCATTCAAGTGTGCATGGCTTTTCACAGTGACACACACTGCATCTGAGGCTGTGAGCTCCTTTGGCCTTAGGAGGCCTTGCTGCTGCCACAGTACCCAAGATGGACAAGGACAGGGAAAGGCAAAGAGCAGAGAACACTGAGCAGGAGGGCATTTAAGGACGTTGTTTTTGGGGTTCTGTCTGTCACAAGGCAGGGGAGGGTGTCTCCGGTAAGACTCCCTGTTCCTGTGTAGATGCAGTGGAATCGGATCAGGAGCAAGCCTAGGCCACAGTCGCACCCACGAGTCCACAGGCACGAGTGGGACAGAACGTGGCAGAGCGTCCAAGGCCTGTGACCCAGCTGGCAAGCATCGGGGACTGCTTGCAAAGCGTTTGGATCGCCTTGCTACACAAGACACACAGTCTTTCCAAAATGCAAGGATTGAATTGGAGAAGTAAGGACCCTTCCCCGTCTATAGCGTCCATCGGAAAAAAGGAAAATCCGAGCTTGAGTGCATTTTTGTCAGAAATGAACGATGTAAATAAAGATTGCGTGGAGAAGTTTTGAAGTGGGGAAATGTGATGGCACCACCTCATGCACGTGTAAATATTCTCAAGAAATGAAACATAAACCCAGGGATAACGTACAGAAACAAAAACATCACCGTAAAACACCGGGTCTGCCAGGTGAAATGAGGCTTAAATTAAAACTGTTTTCCTTTTGTTGTTTAGATGTGTTTATATGAAAGTCGGAGACAGAGGGAGGTCTGTCTGCTGACCCGCTTCCCTAAGCGGTGGTGACAGTCGAGTTAGGTCAGGATTCGAAGTGGAGAATCAGGACTTGAATTTGCTTTCGGTTATAAGATCAAGTGTCCTACGTTGAACCTAGACCTGCCACACCACAACACTCAGGCCTAAATCAAGGCTGTTAACACAGAGTACACTACAGGAGTGGAATCACCTTTCGCTGTCAGAATAAGTAAGAAGAGTTGGGTATACGTTCCTCTTATTACTGCTTCAAAGTGGCAGAGAATGAAGATAATTCTCGTAAAATGCAGATTAATAAATGTTGACCATTACAAATTAAAAATGAGCTTTTTGAGAACCAAAATAATTCTCTGTACTTTTAGGATTCACATACATTAAGACATGGTAAAATACACTGTAACGCAAGCAAGTGAACGTATCAAATAATTTACAATAGCCACAGGTGCTTTCACCTTGGGAGTCAACCATGCGCTGGATGGCATTCCCAGACGGATATAGCTTAAACTCCGTGTCAGCCAGACCCACTGAGCACTTCCCTCTCCTTCAGTCCCGAAAGGCTCCAGGGGGCTCAGAACATGTGTATTTCAGGTAATTTTCTTTCTATCAGAAACACTTTGACACAGATATTTTTAGAATGTGTAAATTGCAAAAATTCAAATATGATTAATATTTTATCCATATTTTAAAAAAATATTTATTTTTATTGGAAAGTTAGATTTACAGAGTGAAGGAGAGACAGGAAGATCTTCCATTTGCTGGTTCCCTCCCCAAGTGGTTGCAACAGCTGGAGCTGAGCCGATCCAAACCCAGGAGGTCGGATCCTTTTCTGGGTCTCCCACGTGGGTTCAGGCTCCCAACGCTTTGGGCCGTCCACCGTTGCTTTCCAAGGTCACAAGCAGGGGGCTGGAAGGGAAGCGGAGCAGCCAGGATATGAACCAGTGTCTATATGGAATCCCAGCATGTGCAAAGCAAGGATTTAGCCACTAAGCTACCACACCAGGCCCTATCCATACTTTTTAATGTGGCAACTATCTACACTAATATATTCATAAATATTTTCAGTTATTCCTCTGAATAACTGACAGCAAAATTATGTGCATTTTATTTGCGTATTAACACATGAGTCCTATTTTGGCTAAATTGTAAAATCTTTGAGAACATGTTCTTTTTTTTTTTTTTTCCTAGTTACCAGTTGAAAATCTGCTAGGAGAGTTGCCACCGTGTGGATACTTGCAAGTGACTACAGCAGGACATGGATCATGGAATGCCCTACAGAAGTCAGTAGACTTAGTCAACGTTAAGGAAAGAAACTTCTTGGCCAGTAGGCCAAGCATAACTTAGAGACGCGAGGGTCACGAGCGAGGAGCACCCAGGGACTGAGGGTGGGAAAGCACAGAGCCACAAACACAGAGGCGTTCAGCAACCACTGGGCTGGAATCCTACTGAGCGCCACGTGGAGAGTCAGCATGGAAGAAAGGGCGTGAAACAAGACAAAAGAACTCACGAGGATGAGGATGGTGCACGTGGCCCTGGCCTCATGGGAAGGCCGACGCGAAAGGCTCTGACTGTGAAGGTGCTGGACCCTCTGCTTGTGTCTGTGCAGGACCAAGACCATGGAGCCACTGGCCCAGACCATGAGCCCCAAAAGGATGTAATCGACCAAAAGTATCATGCTTGCAATCAGTGAGCTGGACACTTGGTCTAGAGTGGTCTTAGAACACCAATACTTAGATTTGGTTTCCCAGCTTGCATTTTTGTCATTCTTCGGGCCATTCACCAAGACGGGAATATGTATATTTGTCAGGAGACTCAGCACCCAGCAGCAGGAGCAGCAGGGACCAAGGCAGCGTAGAAACCAGATTTTGAGTTCCCGCTGCCACCAAGAGCTGCCGGAGCAAAGCTGGGCAGCCTGGAAGGCACCGAGGAGGCAGGTGGTGCTGAGCGAAGCTCCTCTGCTCACTCTGTGCAAATAGAATACCAGTTTACATACAGCACCGCTGAGGAAATAGTCCAATCCAAAAGCTGCCATTTCTTGGGGGATTCCTTTGGAGAAAAGAGCCAAGCAGTTAGCTAAGGCCAGCTGATTGAGAATCTGGTCCGTCGGTCTAAAGTTTCGACCAGTACTTAAAGTAAACGTATAAAAACCAACAAGTAAGGCGTTTCCCAGGATTCCAACTTTCATCTGAATGAAGAAAAGAATCACCCAGTCTAAGCTGGTGGATATCATTACAGCAACATCCAAAGGATGATTTTAAGTTGAGGGGCCAGAAGAATCTGGAAAAAGAAAGGATGTATTACATTCAATTCCTAGAAATGTCTTCAGTGGTTAACTTAGTATAAATATGCCCACAAGAAAAGCCAGCCTTCTATCCTACACCTGTTACTCTACTTCCGATCCGCTTCCCACTAAGCCACATGATTGCTGAAATACTTGACTTCTCGCTACACATGGAAGGTCCAGACAGAAGAGTTTCCGGCTACTGGATGTTGCAGCCACTCAAGGAGTCAACCATTGGATGGAGGAAGTGTGTGTGTGTTTACGTATGTTTCCTTGTTTCAAATAAACCTTTCAAATAAATACATTAAAATTATCTTTTAATTCATTTTCCCATCAAATAAAATGTGAGACATGCGAGGCACTTATTGGCTCATGTACATTGAAGCCTTGCTTCTAGAACAATCGCAGTACTGTTTTAACTAATTCAAAGTACTCAAAGACCTAAGAAGAAAATGAAACCAGCATGAAGTAGATTGCTTTGAGAGCTAGCGGTGCAACCAGACAGAAATAATTTTTAAGATACTATAAACAAAGATTTTAACAAAATAAAAAGAAAGGACAAAAGTGTGATGAAATAATCTTCAATTTTTGCCTCTATCATGTGAACAATAAAAATATTGTTAATTTTTAATAATATATATATAACTAATTTTAATACAGTCAGTAGGAAATAAGGTTTGCAAAAGCAAGAGATTATCTGAAATACAAAGGTATAATCATAAAATTACTTATCTTGAAGAATCAGCATGTTTGGTGCAATCGTTGTCAAATATATTTTTCTACGCTTTTTCCACACAAAGGGTCTAGGTTCCAGCTACTCTGCCTGCTAAGAACACTCCCATGGCCTGAGTTCTGACTTCCGGCATCAGATTTGTCACAAAATAAAATAGATTCTTAGGGGAAAAGCCTGATCTCAAATCTGCGACAGAAAGAGATTTTCAGTGGCAAAGGCAAGAAAGGCTGCATATTGTAGAAGTTAGCTTAAACATATCATTTCAACTTAAAATCCATGTCTCCGATGTTGTAATCTGAAATTGGATAAGCTTGGACTATTTTAAAGAAGAAAAACTAAAGACTCATACAGGAGGAGAAAGGTAGCAAGCATGGAAGCCGAGAGGTGCTGCCACGAGGCCAGCCAGAGATGGACGTGGGCAGCCGGAGATGGACCTGGGCAGCCAGAGATGGACCTGGGCAGCTGGAGATGGACGTGGGCAGCCGGAGATGGACCTGGGCAGCCGGAGATGGACCTGGGCAGCCGGAGATGGACCTGGGCAGCCGGAGATGGACCTGGGCAGCACGCCTCGGACTCCCTGACACCACCCTGCTGTGTTGGCCTTCCGGGCTCATGTTCCCACCCAAGTGAGAATTCTTATAACCACATACTGCTTTCTTCTGGCCTAGGAGGACCCTGCTCCTTCCAGGAGCCTAACAACCATGAAAAGTACAGCTACTTACCGAGCCGACCTGTGACGCCCAGACAGCATGAATGCAGCACCAGCGGGGACATCCGGGCAGGGAGAAAAAGGTCCGGGCTCCATGAGCTCATCTCCTCGTGGGACGCGATTATCCCATCGCCTGCAACGGCCCTGGCTCTTGGGATTCATCTCTCAGGGACACTTCTGCTGTGTGTTCAGATTACTGGAGCTGATTAATGTTTGTTATTGTACTTACCTAGAGCAATTTGATTCTGATAGGGTCTAAAAATGACAGAGTATCAAAGAAAAATCATCAGGGGCCAGCACACGAATCCTCATCTGCAGAGGCAGCATCTCACATGGGTGCTGGTTCAAGTCCCAGCTGTTTCCGCTTCCGATCAGCTAACGGCCTGGGAAAGCAGTGGCGGATGGCCCAGGTCCTGGGGACCACGTGGGAGACCTGGAAGAAGCTCCTGCCCCCAGCTTCGGACCAGCCAGCTCTGGCCACTGCAGCCGTCTGAGGAGAGATCCAGCAGTCAGAAGGGCGCGCCCTCTCCATAATTCTTAGAAGTAAAATCAATACATTTTTTTAAACATATCTGTAGTGAGCAAGGGCCTGGTGAGTAATTTTGTTGGAACCTTGATTCCCGGGTGACTCCCAAAACTTAGCTTTCACTCATTTGATTCATGGATACGATTTTTATCATTTTATTCCAAGTACACTGCAAAATCAGAATTGTTTCCGTTTCTGCAGGTCTTGCCATTCCTGATTGAAATTCCAAGTCCACTGCAATACAGAAGAGAAAAAGGACTGCCCGGGTGTCTCCAAGAACACAGCTCCATGCGGTGTAGACAGAGTACAGGATGAAAAACGCACATTCACTGTTCTGAGGGCGTTCCTGTGCTGGTTCACGGACCTGAACTCCCACCCTGTTAGTCCCGGCCTCACAGGAAAACAGCCTTTACGCTCACAATGCGAAAAGCCTTTGTGGCAAGAAGAAACACTAATATGTTGGGCAAAATCCATATAGCTAGGATACAAATGAGAACACCAATGCGTTTCTAAAAAGCAGTTCAATGTCCTCAGAATTTTCATTCTCTTTATGGTAACATATACAATATAATTGCACATATAATATAAAATGCAATATTTCAAAGTCCATTACAATCATACCAATTTGACAAAGAGCCCCATTCTTGCTAGCTCTCGTACTTTGCACTCACACATAAAATTCCATTGAAATTTTATAAATAGGGCTCAGCACAGTAGGCTAGCAGCTAAAGTCATTGCCTTCCACACGCTGGGACTCCTATATGGGCACTGGTTCATGTCCCAGCAGCCTCGCATCTCATCCAGCTCCCTGCCTGTGGCCTAGGAAAGCAGCAGAGGACAGCCCAAAGCCTAGGAGCTCTGCATCCACGTGGGAGACCTGGAAGAGGCTCCTGGCTCCTGGCTTCCGGATCAGCTAGCTCTGGCCGCTGTAGCCACTTATGGAATGAATCAGCAGATAGAAGATGTTTTCTCTGTTTCTTCTCTTCTCTGTAAATCTGGCTTTCCAATCAAAATAAATATTTAACAAAAAATAAGAACTAGTATAAACAGTCCTTAACCACAGCATTATGATCTGAGCCACATGCTGCTACTTTCTTTCTTTAGGACTATTTATCTGAAAGGCAGAGTTACACACACATAGAGATAGACTGACATAAAGAGATCTCTCATTTATAAACTAACTCAGAAATCTCCCACTTACTGGTTCATTCACTCTCCAAAACACAGCCTCAATGACCAGGGATGGACCAGTCTGAAGCCAGCAGCTTCTCGTGGGTCTCCCACATGGGTGACAGGGGCCTAGGAAGTTGCTCTATCTTCTGCTGCTTTCAGCAGCACTACCAGGGAGCTGGATTGGAAGTGAAGCAGACAGGACTCAAACCAGCTTCTACATGACAGGCTGGCACTGCTGGCCATGGCACTGGCCTCTTCGTGTGCCATTTCTATAGTTCATGGTTTCAAACAGTAGCGATAGGACAGTTTTCAAATCCCAGCCTGGATGCTCAAATAATCTCAAATATGCTTTTAACAGCTGTCGTCAAAAATAAAAATTAGGGGCAAGTGTTGTGGTGCAAGGAGTTAAGTCACTGCATGGCACACTTGCCAGTTCAAGACCTGGCTCCTGTGCGTGCGAACAGGCTTCCTTTTAATATTCCTGAGAAGGTAGAAATAGTGACCCAACACCTGGGACTCCTGCCGCCCGCACACCTGGTGGGATTCCTGTGCCCTGGCCTTGCTCTGCTCGAGCCCGGCTGTTCCTGGCGTTTCGGGTAATCCCACACAATGGGAGAACTTGTGTACTCTCTCTCTGTAACTCTTTCTTTCAAGTAAACGACTAACAAATCTGTAAAAATCCTGATTTTGCCAAAATTGTAAGTCATGTCGAGACTAGCATATAGACTATCCTGAATACATATGTATATATATTCAAATCGTTACAAATTTAACCTTCAGCAGTAAAACCAAGATGTAGAAGATACAAATCATAGGCATTTTTGTGTTGAAGGCACACAAAACAACTCAGTATATACATATGACCAACACGATGCCCACCCTAAGAGCAAGTAGCTGACGGCCACAAAACTAAGGCTGGAGATTCTATCTGGGAAAGACAACAGGATGCGAGGAGGGTCACACAAAATCATGAAATGCACACTGTCCTTTAAGCATGAGTTGATGATTAAATTGTTTTATTGTTATCTATGTGCATTACTTTTGATTTTAACGTCACTTTGAAATGCAGCGAGTACAAATGAAGACCTGAATAATTTAAGTTCATTTGAAATAGCCAGAGTGGAATAGCTAGCAGCCAGAGCATGATTTTACAGCAAGACTGTGGTGTGCACAAGGAAAACGACCAGAGGGGAGCGAGAGGGCGCCTCTCACCAAAGGAAACGTGCAAGATGCGTCAAGAAGCTATCCAAAACCAAAGCACAGGGGAAAACATTCGCCTGAACTTGCCTCAAGGAAGCAAAGTGTCAAAGCAAACAAAGATTATGACCAGACTTTGGCACCGAAACAGTAAGTGTGGCGAAGCGTCACAGAGAGGCGACAAGTGTCAGAACTGAGATCTCAGCAGGAGGGGGCAAAGCGAGGGTGCTGCTGTGTACCCAGCAGAGGGCGGGCTGCAACGACGGGCTCTTGAGGAGAAGAAACAGGAAATACAACTAGAGGCTTCTTCACAGCGCTATTTTTTTCTTTTATAGACTTGTTTGTTTTTGTTGGAAAGGCTGATCAGATTTATGGAGTGAGGGAAAAGCAGAACAACCCTCCATTCACTGGTTCACTCACCAAATGGCCACAATGGCCACAGCTGAGCCAATCTGAAGCCAGGAGCCAGGAGTTTCAGGTCTCCCATGTGGGTCCAGGGCTCCAAGGCTTCCCACAAGCAGGGAGCTGAACGGAAAGTGAAGCAGCCGGGACATAAACCAGCACCCATATTGGATTCCAGTGCTTACAAGGTGAGGATTAGCTGATTGAGC